CATTGCTATTGTCAGTGTAGGGCATGTCCTGAGCACTGGCTTTCTTTTAGAGCCAGTGTACATGTTATCACTTCTTACACATAAATTCAGAACTAATACATCCCTCATACAAAGACATGTTCTATCTCATAGACTTGTGAACATATTGTTCCTAATATAAAAGACTGCTGCTACAGCCATTCTAGTAAATGCAAGCAAAGCTATAAAATATATAATATTTTCTGGAATATTATTCTATATCTGTATATCTATAACATTAAAAACTTGACAAATCCTGAAATGTGTTAATCTGCTCTCTACTTTTTAAATTTGCTTCATGAATGCTGCTGATACATAGCCATTTAAACATGAAATGAAGCATGGTAGACAATATCAATCAGAAACAAACAGAAAGAAAGTTACACACTCCACCATCATTTCAACACATCCCTGATAGTATTTTGCATATTTAAAGGTGTTTTCCATGGTGACTCTCCCATAACAATAAAATTAAACATTTACATTGCCAGTGTGTTTTAACACCAGTTTTCTGAAGTTACTTAAACTCATTTCTCTAAAGGGATTCATAAAGTAAGGCTAATGAATTTAAGCAGGGGGAAAACTTAAAAACTAAAATGAATCTCCAATTAGCTATCATAAATATAAACTCGGACTAACCTAATGTAATTGACAGGCAGTCCATAGGGATCTTCCTAACCTATAGCAATGGACTTTATCCACAAGGATAACAGCATGATGCAGCTGGAGCCAACTGTAACCAAGAGAGATAACTCACAAAATTGACCCAGTAGTTACTGGGAACATAAAGAAATGGAGAAACTGTGCTGGGATGGTATTGGCCAAATCACAATAATAGCACACAGAGTTCCTAGCAATGACACTGTCTGGGATAGAGTTCTATAAGCAGAAGCTGTGTGTATACTTTTGCTTGCATTTTTATGAAGGCTATAGATTCCTAAAAAAAATTATGAGAAGTTCATTTGAAACTGTTCCTATTCCTGACTTGCAGCTTGCGTACGTTTGAAGCATTTGCAGCTCTTGAGCTCATGCTGAAGTTTGCTACATAAGTTATTATAGGGTAGGGTATAGTCTGACGATCGGTCATCAGTAAGCCGAATGGTCTGTGTTGCTGTGGATTGTGCTAAATCCAGAAGTTGACTTTTTCTACTAACTGACAAAGGGTCTTCAATATTCCATCACATATCAATGCCTTGGAACGTCCTCGCGATGTGAAAGGCGCTATACAAATGTAATTTTGTATTGTATTTGTAGAACAATGAAGTTGCCAAGCCCAAACTTTCTTAGGGTTCCCACTTTTCCACACATCTTTGTTATTTGCTTGAGATGGGAACCCTGAAAATCTGTACTATCCTTTTGGGTCTCAACACTGACAAAATTGTAAACTTATTAATTTGCTTTCAAACCAACTTAAGATCAGTAGCTTTTCAAGGAAAGTTTTAATTTTATTGTGCTCAATTGAATTTTATTGATCACAATTCAACTTTTTTTTTAAATATATAAAAAAGATTTTTGGTGCCAGAGTATAGATTTCAGATGACTTCAACAATTCAATAACAATTCCACTTTATCCATGAATTTCTGTCATTTTTGTCCGTTTGAAGAGGTGGATTAGTATGTGTGGACCCTATATTGGATAAAGATTTAATTCTTTTTCACCAGAATTTGAAGCCTGCGAATATAGTTTGGAAGTCATCTTGAATTTTTACAAATAATCTGAAGAGTCAATTCATACTGGGACTTGGTATGGAGATGGGCTCCCCTGTTGTTTTGGTTGCCTGATACTTTCAATCCCAAAAATGTGTTACAGCACACATTTCATTAAACAAGGGTACAAGGTAAACCAATGTTTAACAATTTGGATAGGATATCATGCTTTGTAGCACTAAACATGATCTGCTGTTCATCAAATCCCAGAAGTCCCAGTATGCCTTTGGTATTAGATGGGGAGACAGTCTCAGGTAGCAAAGTGCTGCTTGAGACTATTTCAATTTCAGTATCATATTAAAATGAGAGACTCCAGAGTTCTGCAAAAGAGCTCTTCAGCAGGGAAATCTATAAAACTGTGTGCTTGATATTGAAACCTACAATTGTGGAATATAAACAAGAGCATGTAATTGATCTTTAACTAGTCAAACTCTATATTATTTTCACCTTTCAGACCAACTTTCTGGTTGCCCAATTTATTATTCCTAACTTTAATTTCAGTTTATCAGGAATATAACATTGCTGTTGGATACTGATCTGTAATTTTCATTTATTAGCACCAAAACACTATCAAGGTATTTATCAGGAGCACATCACGAATGGTACTCTTGTGCAGCATCCGTCCATCACCCAGCCATATCAACTAGATGTTCAAGTCACAAATTTTATAATCTTTTGAAAAATGAACAGCTGCGTAACTTCTATAATGGTTAGGTGCTGAGCTGACATATTTGCAACACTATGTAATAATAATAATCCTTGCATTTGATATAGCGCTTTTCACATCTTCTAGACTTCCCAAAGCACTTCACAGAGTATACTGTAAAGTGAATTGACTGTATATTTGTGGGCGAACGCGGCAGCCAATTGTGCACAGCAATGTCCCACAAACAGTCATGGATTGAAAATGACCAATTTATTATTGTTTTTTTTTGGAGGGATTATTATTAGGCGTGTGGAGTAAGGAAACTTGCCCAAGGTTTCGCCCTGCCTGGAATTGAACTCAGATCTCTCACTTGCAAAGCGAGTGCTCTAACCACTGAGCTACAGGACTCCACATGTGTTGTAACACTGAGTTACAACACTCTTTAAGCAGGGAAGAAAAATTATAGATAGCCACGCATCCACTCGCTGTTGATAGGGCCTGTCAGCACCTTACATGATCTCTCAAGAATTTCATCATATTCCTACTTCATGTGTTCTGCCCTGGATTTCTATTGTAGTATTGAGTTAGTTGACATATTTTTTTTAAAAAAAGCAACTTAACAAGCTAATTACGGTTAGAAAGAAACTGGAAAATCCTCAATTTATTTTGAATAAAAAATAACCCACATTTCTCCAAACATTGTTTCCTTACTTTGGTTATCTTGCTTTGCAAGGAATAAGATTAGGCTTTCACTTCAGCATTTGCTGTTTTTACTTAAAATCATTATTCTTTTACTAGTTTTATAATTTTTGTCGGCCTAAATGAGGCATTTTACAGAAACCACAGATTCTTGTATTTTCCTGTTAATTTGATTAATCATTTTTGTCAAAGGGCAGTGGGTTATTCATGTGCTGCTTTACTTCACAAGCCATGTGAAGATGTTAACCACTGTTATTGCCTCCAGCACCTCAAATTATTGGTGTATTATTTCATGCATGCACTGTCCTTTTATCAATTGCTTTTGAAGTAATGTTAATAGACTAGAAAATTGAGACATTTATGAAGTATAGGCAGTGTTTATAGAAAAAAATCCATAAAATATGACAAAGGCAAGCCTTGATAAAAGCCGCTTTTTAATAGATTATGGCAAAGTGATCCTGCCAGTAGCTGACAACTGACTCCTCTGAGATCACTCATTTTTATGGGATTAATTTTGTGGTACTATAAATGAAGTTAAGCGTCCTAATTGATCTGTACACACAGTACAGTATTTCAGCACAAAACCTTATAACCCTCATACTTTGGTTCTGCTGATCCTCAGCTAATTATCTTCTACTGATAACTGGAAAAGACATTTCTGCCGGCAAATTAAACTAATCATTTTCAATACTTAATCAGAAATGTTCTCTGCCTGAAACTATCCTTGATGGTGCACACTAATAACTAGCCTTGGTGTCAATAAGGGTTTATAACCTATCTTGTCAACTGACCACAAATACGGGGGTGGGAACTGAGGGAATGAAAGAACCTTTTTTTTTAAAATCACAGGAAAGATTTTGACAAACATATTTCAAGAAGAAACAAAACTAATGAGCTATAAATATTAAGCTTCTGAAATAATTATGACTAAAGCTTTAGGCAAAATGTACCCAAGAGATCAATTGATAAAAAAAACAATTGTTCTGAATTTTCATTGTAAAATGTAAAGATTATTTCATGCCTTAGGGATTAGACGGTGTATAGTACAAGAGTAGTGCCATTTCACCTCTGAAATGTGCTTTGCAACCTAAGCCAGTCAAAAGGAACCAAAGGCACTCTAAGATCCCTGCTTTGGTATCCTAAATGGAATTTGGTTATCTCAACTCAGTTTGCAGTGGACACAAAACAATAGCAGACAAAGAACCTCACATTTAACCACAATTTATATCACCTAAATAAAATTGCATATTTTAAAGCTTTTGTAGTCCAAATGCGATTTTGATTCAACGAAAAGTACAGGTCTTGTAAAAAACATTCCATGAAGTAGGAAATCAGCCAAGTTGTGATTCTGACACCTGCCTGGGCTTTATTAACAGAAGTAAAAGATTTTGCCTGCAGGTATCTGAGGTACCTTGCAGCAAATTACAACACAAATGCAGGTGACAGTTGTTGGTTGTGTCAATAGTCTGGCACAAATATCTCTATTGCCACAGGATCATGTGATTTTACTTCTAGATATACGATACTTCAAATCAATGTGCAAGTCTATCTGAATTCTCTCTGTTGGTTAAACATTATTAATATACTATGACTAAAATTGTTATTTTGCATCAATGTTTTAAATCCCACATTGTAACAACATACAATTTCCTGTTGACATTTCTAACATAGTCAGCAGCAGCTCTCACCTCTCTGCAGGAGCATCATTAGCTGCAGGCAACTTAGACACAAGAGCTGAGGCGTTCTGCTGGTAAAATTCCTGTCTTGTACATTGATTTTGTCTGGACAATATAATAGATTCATTCCAGATAGCAGGTATTCAATATAGTCAAAAATAATTATTCTGAAGCAAGTCTTAGTAAGTGACATAGTAAGTGAGTAAAATTATTTGCATGTGTGAAATAGTGCAAAAAAATGTTTAATGTCTTACCTTGACTGACTGACTGTAGGGTCCAATATTAGCAGGTGCCCAATGTGAAATGCTCTGAACGTGCATCACTTCCTTTTGCTCTTTGAATGGCTCATGTGTGGTTAACTCATTTTTATGTACAAGGCAATCAAGCTGAAGTAATACACCATCAGGTAACGAAGCTTCTACACAAACCCTAAACAAACAAACAAGGACAATTTCACACTTGACATCTGCTGATATTATGGATGATCAAAAGTCCTTTTCAGCTCTACACTTTTCATGGGTAATACAAAGGGTAGATCTCGTAAACCAAGCTAAGTGAAGCTGTGTCAACTGCTCTCAGTTAGTAGAACTGCGGGTTGGTGAAGGCTGCATTGTTAAAGTGCCATCTTTCAGAAAAGACATTAAATCAAGGGCCCTGCTACCTGTTCTGTACCTAAAGTTATGGTCCTGGTTGCCTGTTCAGGTTTAAAGATTCCGTAAGACAAATGGAAAAGAGAAGGAAGCTTCTCCTGGTGCTCAAGCTAAAACTCCTCCAGATGAATGGTTGACCTCATGATCATTTGTGGGACCTTGAGAGTATAAATCGCTGTGTTTTTTGCCTACAAAAGCAGTCACCATTCTCGCTGAAGAGAACAAAAGAGTAATTACCTGTAATCACTTTTGAGACATTCCAGCATTTATAAAAATACAAATAAAAATTTATTACAAAAAGTCTTTCTTTACTTTCAGCAAAAAAGCTAAAGCTTCAGAAGAAATATTAACTTTAGAAAAGTAAAGTCTAATTGCAAATAATGTCGTCAGAGTGGACCCATTCTTCACAGATAATATCAAAGTATAACCAAGAGACTAAAATGGGATTGTCCCCATAAAAAGTATCTTTCCTGTGCTGGGTGAAACAGCCTTACAAACCCAAAAGTTCCAGATTCAAGTGCCATCAAGTGTGATTCCAGCTCGGATGGGCAATAATTGCACCACAATTAGACTCAGGATTCTGGGGCGGCAGTTGGAAATCTGCCAGGTTCTTGATTCTGATCACGATCAAGAGTTTGTCTGCTAGAAAATGCACATATGTGGACAATCTCAGACTTAGCTGTGTAACATTACCTTGCAGGCGGATTTAAGTTGAAGTAAGACTGGTAGACTACGTTTATAGCAGCAAAATCACTCATACTTTGCACATAGAGGTGAACCAGAACAATATCCGTTAACATGTATCCTTTTGTTTCCAATTGAGCTACAAAAGAGAGAAGTACATTAATTCCAGTCTGCTCCACATCCCCCGCCTGGCCCGCCCCACTGGCGGTCGGTGCTTTAGCTTCTCTACCCCCACCCTTTTGGACTCCATCTCAGTCCTTTCACCTTGTTCCATCCCTTGCCTCCTTCAAGGCACCTCTCAAGACTCTCCTCTTCCATTATGCCTTCGGCCACCCTTCTACCCTTACCCTCCCTGTCCTCCACCCCTCCTGATCCCAAACCCCTGCCTGGGTCCAAATCCCTGACTGTCCAGCACCTTGGGACGTCCTCTTGATGTGAAAGGCGCCATACAAATGTAATTTGTTGTTGTTGATGGTGATAGTCTGTAAAGGAAATGTTAGATATATTTCGTGTATGAAAATGAACATTCTAGTATTAAAGTGGTAGAAGTATAAAATATATTGATATTCTTCATTTGATAAAACTACAATGTCATGAAAATCAATTTGGCACCTTTTAAGAGACGGTAGCAATTTGTGCCTCATATCCCAGAATGTGATCAGAATTACCTTTTCTACAGTGCATTATAAAAGACGAGTGCAATGCATTATATACTTTGCTCAAGTTGTTCTATCATGTTTACCATTGTCAAGGAGATTGTTTTATAGAATGGAACAGAGAACGTTTTTTTGTGTTGTTTCCAGCTAATGACAATGTTTTCCATATTACTGCATGGTCCCAAGTGCTACAGTATTTTCCAGATCATTCCCTGCACCCTGCTAGTGATGTGTAGTACTGAGAGCAAACTGTGTCAAAGGCCTCATGTTACTGAAGTGACAAATAATTATAAAAAATTTATATTGAGTGGAAGTTATACTATATTTCCTTGGCGCAGGATAAGAATGCTGCCTAAATAAAGAACTCTAACAAAATACCCTGCAGTAGGAAAAATGCTTCATTTGTCACATTATCAATGTTCTTCCCATCTGCAGGAGAAAAAGCCCCATGAATCCCATTAATCCACTGGTATCCACTTTTCGTCTTCCCAGACCAATAATTTAACTCCTCTGAAAGAAAAAAAGGAAAATAACACATGAAAACATTAACAGAGTATCAAGATGCCCCTTTTTGACCATGCCACCCTACCTCTCTGCCCTCCACCCTCCCTAATTACAACCCCCCCCACATCCCAACTATTCAGCACCTTGGGACATCCTCCCAACGTGAAAGGCGCTTTACAAATTTAATTTTGTATTGTATACACATATATATATTACATAGAGAACAGCACAATTATTAACAGTCTAACAGTCCCAAGGTGGGGCTTGAACTCATAACAATAACTTGCATTTATGTAGCGTCCTTCACGAGGGGTAGTGTCCTGGAGCGCTTGACTCAGGGTTCAGAGTGCTATCAACTTGGCCAGGGTGATACTTTGTATTGTAAACATATTACAAACAGGTCTTAGTGATTGTGACCAGAGAGTTGAAGCTAAGGAATTAAATTTTAGAATTCCTCTAGAGGAATGGAATTTCCATCAATTACACACCAGTGAAGTCACATTATCTGTAATACAACTTTAAAAGTATTTTAACCCCAAAATGTCCCTGATTAATTAGCACACAATGCAATTGATTCAGTCTCAAACATACCAGTTTCAGATGGACTATGAGAGGTTGGATTCCACATGACCTGTAGATTTGAATGCTCTCCACTAAGTTCAGTTTCTATATTGTTCTCCATGTCACAGCAAAATGAGCAAGAACCCATTTTACTATGCAATATGCCTACAGTCACCTGCTGTATAGAATATATATTTCAGTTACCAAAAAAACTCTACTAGGGAACAAATGCAGAATTAACAACAACAACAAAATGAAATTTGTATAGCGCCTTTCACGCTGGGAGGACATCTCAAGGCATTAAACAATCAGTGTTTCAGACCTGAGCTGAGGTTCGGGATCAGGGAGGGTGGAGGGCAAGGGGGAAAGAGGGTGATCGAAGGCATGGTCGAAGAGGAGGGTATTGAGATGGGTCTTGAAGGAGGCAAGTGAGGGGGTGAGACGGAGGGACTGCAGGATGGAGTTCCAGAGGGTGGGGGCAGAGTGGCTGAAGGACCGCCCATCAATGGTGGGGCAGGGAGGCGGGAGACAGAAGCAGGCCGGAGCTTGCTAGGCGGAGGAAGCGGCAGGTTGGTAGCGTGTCAGGAAATCACAGAGGTAGGCGGGAGCAAGCCCGTGGAGGGCTTTGAAGGTGAGGACCAGGATCTTGAACAGTTTCCTCTGTGTGATGGGAAGCCAGTGGAGTCGGACGAGGATGGGGGTGATAGGGTCACGGAGTCTGGTGCGGGAGTGGACATGGGTTGCAGAGTTCTGGATGATCTGCAGCCTATGGAGGGAGGAGTTGGGGAGGCCGACAAGCAGGGAGTTTGCATCGTCAAGCCTGGATGTTATGAATGCATGTATGGGGGTTTTGGCAGCCTGCTGTGTGAGACAGTGGTCATAAATCAGGTTGTAAATAAGTTGACTTGTAATATTGAAAATTACAGAAATATGTATCCTGAATATCTCCAAATTATTTGTTAAATTTATTCCATTATCCATAAGTGCATGCATTTGCTAATTATGACATGAGCTCTTTTTATCCTTTTTAACACAATAAATATTACCTCTTTTTACACAATACGTATTATAATGCAGATTCTATAATACAGAAATTTGCAGTGAGTACATTTTATCAGTAAAATGTCTTGTATTGTAATTCATTGCAGTGTACAGGAGTGTGCAAATGGTGAAATGGAGAACTGATGTACGTCATGCAATCACTCATCCTTCTAAATCACACCCTGTATTTTGAAGACCATATTTTTTTCTCATGGTTGTACTTGTAATTTACGCATTTAATCTAATAGGCCACCGTAATCAAAATATACTGGGGCATTATTATAAGGCAATATGTGTACCATATAATTTACAGTACTACCACTACTCAATAAGGATAGTACTTAACAAGACTTTATAAAGTCTTTTAAAACAAATTACATGCGGTAGTCCGTTATAAAAAAAATGGCACAAAGGTTTACAAATGAGAATCTTGGAAAAACAAGAAACATGCCTAGAGTCGAAACACACACAAAATAGAAGGGTTAGTGCAGTGAGCAGAAAATATTTTAATTTTGAATGCATAAATGCAGTGACTGAAACTCCCATGAGAAAATGTCTGATTTCTTTGGTTGTCGTAAGAACTTTAAAAGAAAAATCTCTAGATTTAAATATTGATACCAAGGAATGTTGTTCTTGTATGTGAGTGAACATGTTGATAAAATATGCAACTTGAGATTACATTACTCTTCCTGAAGTATCAAATTATTGGTGGAAAACCATAATTGGACAGCACAGTATTAACAGAGCCCTTGCTATAGAATCGCATTCCTCACCTCATCTAATCAGTTTCCAGTTTGGGCTGCATGCTGAGCAACAAAAATGCAAACATTAAAGACTTGCATTATTATCCTCTCAGGAGAAGCTGCTCATCTGAAGTACTCCATGAACTCTCTACACTGTACCAACATTAATTTTGCATTAAAAAGAATTAGTACAAGAAGTGTGTTGGAGGATAGGGTACATTTTGCCAAATACAGATTCTGTACTCGTGACCAATGTGTAATTGCATTTTTAATGAACACTCGAGTGCATCAAGATGCCTTCCACCAGACACAAATGCTGTGTTGGTGTCGAAGAGAAATCTTAAACATAACTTAAACTGATCTTCTGGCAATAAGGCAATATTGTCAGAGAGGTGAAACAGTAGCGCAGAAAGCAGGCCGATTTCCTGGAAGTGCAGTGCTACAAGTTCATAACTCACCGTGTTGATTTCCAACATGGTGAGTTATCAATCTCGGTTGGTTGAGCTGACACGTGGAACCCTCAAGCAGAAAGCAGGCATTTGTCTACTGAGAGAAACAATGAAGAAGTACCATCTTGCTCTGCTGGCACTCACCTCCAATTAGAGCAGCTAAAGAAAAACTGGATCTGATAGTACTTCAGATATCTTTCAAATGTTATGATAAAACCAATCTCAAGAGAAATCCCACCCATGTGTATATCTAATTAAATGTTCAGGCATGCTGGGTTACATAGGGCAAAAGAATTTCCCAAAACAGCTTCCACTTCACATCATTTGAGAACAATATGTTCATTATGCTATAAGCTTTTGCAGACAGCTTTAAAGCATCCACCCACCCAGGTCCTGCCGAGCACTAACTCTCCCCCCGCTACCCCAGGTCCTGCTGAGCATTTGCTATTTCATCTCATTCAATGGATCAGATTTCAGGATGCAAAGGAGATGCAATTGAATTATCTCTTCATATTTTGGCTCTCACTGTAGCCAATCACATGAGAACCAGCATGCAACTGAACACCAATCCAAATTGGAATACAAAGTGAATTAAAATGGGACATTTTGGTTTAATTTCCTCCAAACAAAAGCTGAATTAGGACATTGTAACTATTTTATATTCTGGTCTGACAGGTGTTTGCTAAACACAGCAACAAAATTGAACAGATAAAACTGAAATGGTTACACTACAGTGAAAATATCACGATTGACTGAGATGACGTTGATAGGGGCTTGATATTAAACCAGACCTGATTAAGAATTTTCTGGCTTTGGAAAGACGCCTGGTTGGGGATAGCGACATGCATATGTCCCAAGTTACACTTCATGTGTTTCAGGCAAGGATTACAAATAATTGAGGTGAAGATTTGCTGCTGGAAATATATGCCGAAATTTTTTAAAATCGTTTTCCTTTTTAAATCTTGCAATTTTGTGGTATTTTCCTGGGGTTCTGGCTCTCGAGAGGCAAGGGGAGGACGACACTGAGGAAAATTGTGAGAAACATTTGGACTTTTAACACATTTGTTGAAGGGGTTTGTGGGATGATCTCTGAGGCATGCTACATTTAAGAGGGCCATTTATTCTTTCATGTTTGCACTGGCACACAGTAATACAAAGTAATTGCTACCAGAACCTTCCACTGTGATCTAATGGTGACCTTGTTCCATACTCCCATCGGTCCTTCTGCCTGATTTGTTGTTAGTGGTTTATTTTTAATTACGTGCTGAATTGTCACAAAGATGAATAGGCAGCAGCAACACAACAGTTGCAGCAAGGATGGGGCATAGGAACAGACACCTATTTTCAGATAAAACGGGAAATACTGAAAATATTAATCGGGAAGGGCTCTTGGGCACATTTCTGCCGCCTCTTCTTTTTGTGGCAGTTTTCACAACAGACCTCCTCCCAATTAATATCGCTGTACTTTGATATACAAGATGTCAAGACTCTAGCAACAACGTACTCATTAGTTTGGATATATTCATGCCAGTCTTTGCGCTACTAGGTAGTTGTAGGAATTACCCAAAAGGTATGTCACAATTCCACTTAGCACAAGGAAGCAAGTTTCTTATTTAAAAATGTTAGTTTTAAAATTATTCTGATGGCAACATCTACCATTCTTGAAAGGTTACTGTTTGTTCAGCTTCAATCCCAATGTTACCAACCAAAGCATCCACTAAACTCCACTTAAACCCTACCATGATTGTTACCCATAAAAGAATGATAGCAAATCAACTTTCTTTTCACTCCCCACTCTCCCTATCTGAGATTGTGCTGGATGGCCATTTCCAATCAAAACATGCACGGTTGGGTAACCTACTCTTAGGATCCATCAACACTACTCGTGACTCCTATTGGGAAATGTCAAAAACAGCATGGTGTAACTTTCCTTCCACTGAGAAAGTGTCTGGATTACTCCCAGTGATAGCACAACAAATTTTGGTATCACATCATATTAGTGAAAGCCTATGCGGTAAAAGGTGCTGGATCTACAACACACCATGCTATCTGAAAACACGTTATTTTTAATTGACAGACAATGTGTATACTGATAGAATCTGATGTCTTCTTTTTCTTTGCTCTTCCAAATAACTCAACATACTCTATTTGAATTCATGATTCATAACATTTTCCTTTGTAACAATTTTCTAATGTTTTAAATTAAATTGGTTAATTAGTTTTCCTCATTTAAAACAGAACAAATAATAATCCTTGCATTTGATATAGCCCCTTATCACGTCTTCGAGATGTCTCAAAGCGCTTCATAGAATATAATGTAAATTAATTGACTATGTCATTTATGGGTGAAACACGACAGCCAATTGCGCACAGCAGTGTCCCACAAACAGTCATGATTAAGTGACCAAATTATTATTTTTTATTATTGTTTATTATTTTGAAGGGATTATTGACCACAACTGTACAGTCAATTCACTTTACAGTATATTCTGTGAAGAGCTTTGAGACGTCTAGAAGACATGAAAAGCGCTATATCAAATCCAAGGATTATTGTTATATTATTATATTTACTGCTAGGTAAACAGAGGTATGTGGAGAAAAGAACTCGCCTAAGGTTTCGCCCTGCCCGGGAATCAAACCCAGGTCCTCTTGCTTGTGAGGCAACTGCTCTAACCAATACACTGCAGGCTCCACTAAAGAAAGAAAAACTGTAAGACATCGATTGACAGCAAGATAGTGTACACGTAACTAAGTCTTTCCTATATCAAATATTTACTGAAAAGCACCATTTTGTTTCCTAAGTAGTCTATTGAGGATGTTAAGCTATAAGTGCATTGACCACAACAAGAAAACAGCTTGACCTGGACAAATATTCCCAACAAAGCATAACCAATTTCACTTTTATTGTGTATTCTTGACCTAACATTTGTATGAATCATTACAACTGCAGCAAGAAACCTACACATATTCAATAGAAACACATTGAAAGAATACATAGCAATTTTATAACTGGCAAAGTAAGAAAGTGTGGTTTTCCCTAAGAACAAGGACTTTGAGCACTCAATGAAAGGTCAAAACTATCTAAAAAATTTCTGTGCACTTCTTGATCTGAGCATTTCTCAAGGGTTCAATAGAAATCTCAAATAGATGGATATTAGATGAGGAACAAAGGTTGAATACATTTTGCTTTACAAATAACTATTTTATTTATTTTTTACAATATTAATGTAAAATTTAATGAAGTGTAAGCAACTTACTACTTGCAGATACAATTCACACAGAAAAGTTTAAAACTCCCTTGACAGCTTGATGGGTAAAGGCACTGCCCATTGTAAGACTGAGCCATACAAACCACAAGGTCGTAAATTCAAATCCTGGTTTGTAGTGAGTTAACAGATTTCAGCTGAGGAAGCAGTTGGGACACTAAAATTGTGCTCATTGCCCCAGGGCAACGGGGAAGAGGGGTGGAAAACAGCCAGGGTTACTGCTCCTGAATGCTATCTGGTAATTCCCACATGTGTGTGGATGTCAGATAAGTGCAGGATTGGACTTGGCCCACTCCCAACATTAAATAGCCTGTTGGCACTCAACTGTTAAGTCTTACACATTAAGAATAGCCACTTGGGTAAGATAATGGGAGGCAGCGAGAGTCAAAATCAGCATTTTCAGAAGTGACAACAGATTAATTAACACCAAAATATGTTGGTGTACCAGATGCCAAAGGCTCCTGGAACATCAATTGATTGCTCAGGCACAGGATTTTTTTCTAAAGTAGATGTCACAACTTTACTTTGGGCAGCATATTTAATATTATTATTATTTCTAAATATCTCTTGATCACCTCGGTCATTTTGTGCACAATAGATAAATTACAGGCATACAAATGGTTTCTCATGATGATAACAGACGAAAGTCCGTCTCCTTTAGAGTTTCAAAAGTGATCTAGAGAACAACTAGTTAGAGGCCAGTCCCTAAGCAAGGATTAGACTAAATGTAAATACTAAACGTTCTATGTGTGGAACTTCCAGAGATACAACTTGAGAAGGGCTGCTCCTCTGGAAACCAACAACAACAACTTGCATTTATGTAGCTCCCTTTCTAGGTTTCTAAAAGACGTTTCCAGTCAACCAGGAGAGTGGGGGGAGAAAGACAAGAGAACTGAGGATACAGTTTAAAGCAGAGTGTCTTAAAACAGAACTGGGGAAGATCAAGGCACTATTTGCTTAAAGGGGAATTCTCTAGTGATGTTCCCCACAGAATGACAGCCTACAGTCTATTGTACTTTGATTGAGAAAAACTGCTGGCTGTTTTTGTTCAGAATATAGATACATTTTTAAGTTAACACAACACATGTAAATACATTGTGGAAGTAAATAATTCTAGATTCCCTTCTCCCTATATATTGTTAGCTAAGCTCAATGGGGTTTATAATCTGACCAGTATGAATCTTAATTCTTTCTCTTCACTAATCAAGGGTGACCTTAGTTATTAGATTGTGATCCGATACATAGTGCCTACTAATGTTCTTTGCTTTGGTATCCCACTAAAAGCCTCAGGTTACTGCTCTGTGGGAAACTTTTGACAACCACAATAACAGGCAGTCCTTCAATAATATTCTTATTACTCTTAGTATCTATACCTGGGCAAAAGATGGAGGTATAGCTTGCCTTTGGAGAAGTCCCATCTAATGATAATCTGATACTTCTTGCAATAATATTTTACCAAAGCCAATTAGTTTCATATATACGATGCAAGTCAAGTATTATGTGTTAGACTTATTATTGTTATTATGTTTGGTCGACTGTGCTGTACAATGCCAGCAACCTCACATATCTGCTCTAATCACATTCCCCTCCCTTTCCACAAACTTTTTTAATATCTTCAATCACTCAGCTTCAATAATGAGTCTCACGTTAGTAATTAGTACTGCTTGGCTATATCCTCTTCGTGTTCTGGTCATGTGGAGTCCTGTAGCTCAGTGGTTAGAGCACTCGCTTTACAAGTGAGAGACCTGAGTTCAATTCCAGGCACAGGGCGAAACCTTGGGCAAGTTTCCTTACTCCACACGCCTAATAATAATCCCTCCAAAAAACCCAAAACAATAATTAAATTGGTCATTTCCAATCTACGACTGTTTGTGGGACATTGCTGTGCGCAATTGGCTGCCGCGTTCGCCCACAAATATACAGTCAATTCACTTTACAGTGTGTTCTGTGAAGTGCTTTGGGACGTCCTCCTGACGTGAAAAGCGCTATATCAAATGCAAGGATTATTATTATTATTATTATTATTATAGACCAAAATAGTCTTAAAGGAGATTTCTTTTATCAAGTTATTTTTTCAGAGGTAGACAGGAAAAATACTTTTTCCTTTGGCTGGAGAATTGGTGACAAGAAGTCATTAGAGTTATTACATGAAAAAGTAGGTGAGAAACGAGACGGAATTTCTTCACTTGAGGGGTTTGGAATGCATTATGACAGGTGGCTGTTGAGCTTGGATCAAGAGAGAATTGTTCAAAAAACTGGCAAAATGGGCAACTGAGCAGTGTAAATATTAAGGGATATAGGGAAAGAATTAGTAAGTGGAAATGATGACGGAAGAGCAATTTGGAAAGTCTGGTTCAGTCGTGACCACAGACATGATATCCGAATGCTCCTCCCCTTTCTGGGAAGAAAATTCTATGTTTCTATATGTAATTTTTGTCCCTAAAAGCATCTACCTCTACTATTAAAATGCCCCCATGCATATTATACAGTAAGTTCAATAAACACTGATTTATTCAGCCTATATGAAAAGCATTATATAAGCGTAAGCTGTGTTGCAAATACACAATACGTACACATCAATTAGTGCACTTCAGCTGTTTACACATTTACCAGAAAAATTATCAAATAGGAACTTACGTTCGGTTTATTCTCCAGATGTACGCTCAAAAACCTAAGATACCCCACAGGTGCGAACGCGTCAGCTGAATGGATAACTACTTCTGAGGAATCACTGCAGAAAATAATAAAGAATCATAATTGCAGAATGCATCAGTGAGCAAAGTATTCACTATCAAAACAGCAAATAGTGCCATCATTTCAGGAAATATTTAACATTGGAAAAACAAATGAAGGGTCACACCCAAAACGTGAACCTATCTTCTTTTTTATTTCCTAATTGCGTTATTATGGATTTGAGCCAATTGGTGTTTTTAGTTCAGATTTTCAGCATTCATTCACTTTCTAACAAGTGTCACTGGATAGAATCTAGGAGCAGCAATCTTTGCTATTCTTTTCCCCCTTCCTAACATTTGTAGCACACCTATTGCTGCCTCAGACAAGAAGGGTTAACTAAACCACGATCAAACTTCAGACCTATTGGATCAATTTCACACGACAAAATAACTTTAGTATTTAAACTATTGGAGACCTAGAGAATTATTTTCAGTTGAAAGTATTATACCAAAAACAACAACAACTTGCACTTACATAGTGCCCTCCACGCAGGTTAGTGTCTCAGAGCTCTTTACAGTGGGGGAGTCTAACTCCAAGCCAGGGGAGGGGGAGGTGTAAAAACATTGTAACTCAAGTCCTAACCGAGTTAACTTATTTTGATCTTTATTTTATTTAAAAATAAATCCATGTTAAACCCCCCCCCCCCCCCACACAAATAACATTTCAACATAACCATTACTTATCAATGTCACCTCAAGAATTATGCAAAAACAGTGAGAAAAAGACACAAACGATAGATCAAAGATAAATGCACATTTACGATCCTGAATCCCCAACACCACCAGGATCTCATATTGTTAAAGCGTACTAGAGGCTTATCAGCAAGATTTGTTTGTGAAGGATCGATCAATACAGTCTTTTCTCCACATTAACCATTCCTTTACTCTCCCTGTTCTCAATTATGTTAACTGACCAAACCAAACCATCGCAACAGGTAAAACACAAGCAGCAGTAATTTATATAATGAATTCAACTAAACTATAAAGCCATACATCATGGCTGTAGTCTCCCATAGTAGTATCAACCAGAATGTCAATGCATATTAAAGGGTGATGCTTTTACGAATAATAAATAAAGCAATTCAAACAATTTAACGATAGGCAAAGAGTTAATTAGTGGAGAAGGTAAAGGGTTATCCTGAACACTGGGTGAAATATATTTTATGGGTAGAGATTTTAGTAGGCCACAAACTGCAGGAGCTGATAGGCAGTGAGTGGTAATGTGTTGCCTCGAGTGATAACCAGGAAAAACTGGCCTGGTGGGAATTCCTTAATTGGAAAGGCATTCCAACCAGGCTGGAAAGGTGCATTTGAATAGCAGTGGAGTAGTGCAGCTCACTGGGAAGTTATAATCCTTCTCATCTCTTAGGACTGTGAAAGACCTCAAAAACATCTTAATTAAAACACTTCTCAATCAATGAAGACATTTTAAAGCATTCACCGACAGACTCTAGCTGGCACATATATGTAATAAGGTTTAAATTATATTTTTCAAATGTTTGCTTTTATGTTATGAATCAAATCTACGTAAGAAAAGGGATTCCGGTCGAAAATATTAAATCTAAGGGGATGATTGACTCTGTAAGACTGTCATAATGTTAGTTCCCAAGTATGTCAGCCCATCTAAGAAAAAAAATCAAATGAATGTTCACAGGGACAAATTTGCCCTGTGGTATCACTTCACTCTTGTTAAAGCTGATCATGTAACTAGAGAGGTACTCTTCTTGCTGGACTGTTTGAAAATACATCAATGGTAGCCTTATGTAGAGCAGACTATTAGCAGTATAAAGGGAATGGTTATATCCATACCACCAACCTCCACACAGTACATGATTGGATTTGATCTAATCGCAAGAGTCAGGAATTCAATCATCAAAGCAAAGGTGACAGAGGACGTTGCCAAGATGTATGAACCCCATTGCAATGGGAAAGAGAATGAATGCTACCTTGCTTATAGTAATTAAGGTCCTTTTCTCAATCTTGGAATGAAGTTTAGTTTATAAACTCAAACAGCAGAATCCTGCAAAATCAGTTGGATGAATTACTCTTAGGGTTTAATCACTTTCATTTTACACTTTGAATCAGCTTTAGTGACTCATAACCTCACTCATGACCTTAATATTTGTGTTCAAGAGACAAGTAAAACAGTTCAATTTCACGATTCAGGAGACTGATTAACTATAACAGTAATCACAATGTGAGGCATCAAAATATATAAGTATATAAAGTATGTGAGGCACCACTAAGTATAACAAAAATTATAAAAGTAGCAGAACGTAAAACCTTGCCCATGCGCAGCACACAGTGGAAGCATCAATACATTATCTTTCTTGGAAGCAACTGTGTCAAATTTCTCCCATTTCAGCACAAGGAATCTATCTCCACTTTATGGGCCTGTGCCAATATCCTGAATTTCCCCGCCCCCCCCCCCCCCCACCCCAGTGTTATGAATATCATTCCCTTTTCACAATGGACCTTCAGCCCTGCCAGAAATGAAGATTGCATTACCTCAATTTCCTCAGACATCCTGAAAGATTGCAGAATCCTACTTTTTATAGACTATTACAATAAAAGCAAAGAAAAATAACGTTTCAAGGGCCTAAATATCAAACTACCAGCTAGTTTCCTTGCAAGGTGGTGCATAATTAACCCAAATAGTACTTAACCCAAACTCCCACCTCCTCAAAAAATACAGCTGCAGCATCATTTAGTTCCAACACAATATCAATTCATGTCCTCAGGTTTCCACAGCAGTTCATTTTGTTCCAACTCCGGATTATCTAAGCAGACACTTTGTTTTGGACACTTTTAATCTTTCAGTTGTGCCCACGTTGTCACCTAACTCTGGGAAAGTTGCCAACTTGCCTCAACACAATAGTGGCCAAGCAAGAATGAGTTTCCTGGACTCCTCATTGGAATGGATCTTTTTTGCTAAAGAGATCCATGATGGCACACGTCCAACCTTTTGAATGGAACAGAAATATCCTCCGACAGGTAGGGGAAGCCTGTTTTAAAAAAAACTACTGTACATTTTTCTTGGGAAGGAGCAAGTAATTTGGAGTGAAGGTCTTCCCTCTTATGTTTATTTAGTACGTAACCTTTAAAATACCGTACAACATTTAAAATGTGTGTATACATCAAGCTGCAGCTTGATTGTCCATTGTTGAAACTTACTGGTACTCATGACTGAACAAAGAAAATTTCTCCAAGCTTTAAGAAGTGAAGGATTACACCGAAGGACACAGCTTGCCAGCACTTGTTAAATAAGCAAATTGTTTAATAATAATAATAATAATCCTTGCATTTGATATAGCGCTTTTCACGTCGGGAGGACGTCCCAAAGCGCTTCACAGAACACACTGTAAAGTGAATTGACTGTATATTTGTGGGCGAACGCGGCAGCCAATTGCGCACAGCAATGTCCCACAAACAGTCGTGGATTGAAAATGACCAATTTATTATTGTTTTTGGTTTTGGAGGGATTATTATTAGGCGTGTGGAGTAAGGAAACTTGCCCAAGGTTTCGCCCTGTGCCTGGAATTGAACTCAGGTCTCTCGCTTGCAAAGCGAGTGCTCTAACCACTGAGCTACAGGACTCCACAGGAGTTTAGGTCGTAGATTAAATTGTGTTCTTCAGTGTAATTCGAGTTAGGCAATTAGTTGAGATTCTACGGTTATGTGGCATAAATAACCATTGTTTTCCATTCAAAATATTTTCAAAATCATTTCCCAAGTCAACAATGCAGCTATCAACCCTTTAACAAATAGTAGACAGAACAATACGATTATGTGAGCTTCCTGAATAATTTACAGTTTGAAACTTAAGGTGACATGAACCATGGGTACAAATTACAACTGGAAGTTTAAACATACAGATTTGCACCATCAAAAATGTTACTGTTAACATAGTTATGTAACAATTAAAAGAATAATTTGCTTGAAAAATTGAATTTTCCCTAAAAACTAGAAACAGGAAGTCAGCAAAGCAGTATTGTTCACAATAACAATTTGCCTTTTGTAAAACTGTGCTTGTTAAGGATGGACGATTAAACTGAGGAAACAGCACTCACACAACTATTCTCTTCTTGAACAAAGGGCAGTCCAGAGTAAACGTTTCATACTCCCCACCTTCTCCACATACATGAACTCCATACTTCTGAGAAATCTGCAAAAACAGATATGTTGAATAAAAGCTTCTGGTATTGTCAACACAGTGTTATGATATTACTGATGCTGAGTTGTGGTGTGATGAAGTTTTATTTCTGCTGCACTTGTTAATACATGTTCAAGAGCACAACAATCTTATTTTGATGATCAGCATGCTCTGTTTTTAATGTTTTTTTATACTGTCCAGAGTGCTTTCAACATAAGGAGCACTGCACATCAGTTACATCACAGTAATACATTTTTCACTACATGCAATCTTCAAAAACATGCCACTAATTGTGAATATTTTAAAGTATGGGACTACAACATTAAACATTTCTTTGTTATCAAAATTCTCTATCATCTGGGGTCCACAAGTCTAATCTTACAGACTTCTCTCATACAGTATGACAGCATGGAATGTAGTGCCACTGGGTTATCTTGAACAGAGGCATGAGCTGCAGCATGTACTCTTACAGAGTTGGATTTCAATCCAAAAATCAATCAGACTATTGAAGTAGTCAAGAATCACAGGAATACCACAAACGGCAGGGGGCTGTTCTGATACACTTGCCATCAAAGGGCCAACATTTTCCATTTACTGTTATAAACAGACCATATGGAAGGTTTCTTTGAAGAAACGTCTCCAAGCAAATCCTGGGTTTGTAGACTCTCACCAGACTATCAACTTGAAGTAGAACATGTTTGGGTGTCAGAGCCTTTCCCTTTTGCAAGGACAGGAGAATCTTCCTCCTTAAGAAGAAAACTGGAAATCTTCAATGAGAAAAAAAGTTCATGAATGTGTGGGTCCTTGGAGAGTTACATTTCTGCTCTGAGTCTTACCACACTTTTCACTTGGAGCTAATCAGCAGAAAAATTTAACGTCAGAATGAAAAGAGTTGCCACATATTTCGTTGTTTGGTTAGTTATCGAGTTATGCTCATGGACTCTTCCTCATCAAGCTGCACCATTTTAACAGCACAATTAAATAGTCTGGAGAGCTGCCAGCACCCGTAAAACTGTACCCAAAAAGAGTGAGCACCTTCGTGAGAAAATCGCAAGAGAAAACTAGATCCTATTTCTACCTGAATGAGATATGGCTCCAATTGTTCCAATGTTTTTCCAAGATGTTTCTCTGGATCCAGACCTGCAAAATAAAGCAACCATTTCATTATTCTTAATTTTCATTAATCATCCCTATGTGCGAAATCAACTGTGATGAAGTTTGGGAGACAGCTTATTTACTTTACACTGCTCCGCCAATGGCAACTCTGCTGTCACGGAACACTGCCTCGAAAGTTCATCAAAAGGAATTGAATGAAAAATGACCAGCATTTCTTTTAATGCCTTATGTCAACCTGTTAGTCAGTTTACACATTCTGAAACATTTTATGTTGCTTGCTTTCTACATTACAAATATATTTTTGTAAGCTTTATATGTTTTTATAAGTTTTATAAGGTTTTTATTTTAATTTTTTTGATTTATCTTAATTTACTTTGAACTGGATATACACAAAAAATGTTTAGTTTTTTTTTATTAATTGTATTCACAGAGGAAAGTGAGTTCTGGCCACAGATGGTTACAGTGTTGAGGCTTTGATGCATTTGTTAAATATCAATGTGAATGATGTTCTCACTCGACCCACTGTTCAGCACCATTTCTCTTTAATTTACAACAGAATGAATAAGGTTGATATTATTGACCAGTGACTGGGTAAAAATATAACCAGAAAAAACTCTGCTCACACGGCCTTACAAAATCATGAATGATGGTAGAATGGGTGCTTCTGTTTTCCTTTTAAAGCTGTGTTTCATTCTGCTTGTACTGTATTTCCAACTCTTTCCTACTAGTAAAAGTTGTTACTTTATTTTAAAGCATTCTTCCAACATAAAAACAGTACTTTCAAGCCTCAAGTGTTAGGGTTAGTTGGCACTCGGCTGTGCTTTCCTCAACTAGGTGAGATTACCAGTTGTGAGCCAGAAACTTTGATAAGAGTTCATGCAAAAAAACAGGAGGTGTTTCATCTCAAGGCAATTAACTTATGGCTGAAAGGAAATCAGATGAAGGATACAACTGAGCAGTCAATTGAGGTCCTGCAGGAGCTAACCTTGGTTTGATTTGACCTTTAGATTTGATCCCAACAAATGGGTTGATATTCATTACAAAAACACATTTATGCAATGCTAATTGTTCTGCATTTACTTGAAGCTACTGCTTTTACCCTCCCATAGCAAGTTTACTGCATGGAGACATGTGATAGGAGCAGAAAGATCCATGTTAAAAAACAGTTCCACTGAGCAAGATTATATCAAGATTTTAATATGTGACTTAACAAATCATTGTAAATTCAACAACATAAGTGGGACTGAAATTATAGTATCTGTAACAAATTTTGAACTTTTTAAAATATGATTTGGTACATTACATTGCCATATCTGAAAAGGGCCAATTTGGGAAAAAGGTGATGTGCAGAAGGCTTTAATCTAATTAGAGTTGATCTCTGTACATTTGCTGAATGTGTCTACCTAATTTGAATTGAAGACTGTATTGCAAGTTTAAATATACATAAAGTCTCCAGTATAAATCACATTAAGAGTTAAACGTGTTACAAAAATGAACTGCTGCATGAAACAGGCTGCTGAGAGGAGGGAGTGGACACGTTAGTATGCTTCAGGTCGCAGGTGTAGGAAGAAGCATGATCGTGGATGGCTTTCAAAGTGAGGGCAAGGATTTTAAATTTGATTCTTTGAGGGATGGGGAAAATTACAAAATGGAAGAATGCTTTTAAAACATTAGAGAACATTTTGAACAGATAGATGAAAAGATGGACTAAGAATGGCTCAAAGCATGAGTGATAAGTAAGATATAGTTTATAAAGGTTCGTAAGCACTGTATATGCACATTTTATGACTGACAAAAAGATGCAATTTTATTTATTTTCATAAACAATTTAATAATCAACTTCCTCCCCCAGTCATCATTTTAACTTACATTAACTTGAGGAGTGCAAAGAAAGGGAGGACCTTTCAAGAATTTGTGACCAGAAACATGTGAAAACCAGACAGCGCAGTATTGGAGGAGAGCTGCATAAACAAAGGTACCGTCCCTTCAGATGAGACATTGAACTAAGATCCTGTCTGTTTGTTCAGGTGGAAGTTAATACGCCACAGCACTATTCAAAGAGAAAGGAGTTAATTCAGCCAACAATCTTACCCCAGATAAAAAAAATTGGTAAATTTCATAGCTTTTCGTGGGGCTCTGGTGTGTGCAAAATGGCTGTCATGGTTGTCTACAAATACACAGTCAATACACGTAATTACTGTGAAGTCCTTTGTGACGCTTCAACAGGATAAGGTGCTATATTAAACATAAGGATTACTATTATTATAGTGAGCTTGAAATGAAACAAGCATTCATTGGGACTACAATCTCAGAGAAAACTTCATAGGCACATAAACTACCTCATGATCCACATTTACTTTCTTCCATGCCCCTGGAAAGCAAAAATGCATTTGATTCAAACTGATTCTGATGCATGCAAGATGAAAAAGAAACAAAAGGAGATTCAAAGAATTCTGTGAAAGGTCAAAGTAAATGTTATGCTAAGGGCAAACTTCAAGCTCTAACAACATTTATATTTAATGTACAGATAACTACTCTCCGATATCCAGTTCCAAGCACAAATTCAGTATTATTTCATTCCCACAGTAAGATTTCCAACGAAATCAGACTGCTAAAATATTTCTGTCACCAGAAATACACTGGAACTTTTGGCTGGGATTTAAGAATAAAAATTAAGATCTAAATATGAACTAAATTTTAGATCAGAAGCCATTACATGTTAGCTCAACATGGCTCAAGAATGGACCGTGACAATATTAATTGGAGGTTTCAGGACACCTGTCCCAATTGTTCATTCATACTGAAGAAAATCCTGAAGCAAATTCAAATTCAACATTTAAGAACTGTGTCCACAATTCTCTTTAACTGCAGACATACATAATCTGAGATATAGAGATAGGCTATTGGCCTCTTTTTGACAATGAAAACTGCCAACAAACGATAGAATACAAAGGGATTTCACAGGTGTTTTGGGGAAAAGTGGAGTCCTGTGGCTCAGTGGTTAGAGCACTCACTTTGCAAGTGAGAGACCTGAGTTCAATTCCAGGCAGGGCGAAACCTTGGGCAAGTTTCCTTACTCCACACGCCTAATAATAATCCCTCCAATACTAAAAACAATAATAAATTGGTCATTTTCAATCTACGACTGTTTGTGGGACATTGCTGTGCGCAATTGGCTGCCGCGTTTGCCCACAAATATACAGTCAATTCACTTTACAGTGTACTCTGTGAAGCGCTTTGGGACGTCCTCCCGACGTGAAAAGCGCTATATCAAATGCAAGGATTATTATTATTATTATTTAAGTATCTGGCACCCACTTCAGCTTTTCATTTTTATTTAAAATTATGCCTTGGCTGTTTTTATTCATCAACCTGCAAAGATATTTGAGGACAAGCCCAAAATACACTTTGAAAAGCTTGCCTAATGATATGCAAAATTACAATGTGAAAATCATTAGGGTTTCTGAACTGGACATCTAGATCACTAAATTTAGCAAAATTACACAATTAAAATTTAATTAAAGAATTCTTGGGTGATAATTAAATGGCTGACCTTGAAGTTAATATCCATGCAATTTTGAATTTTTAACAATGATTAAAAAAGTTTCCTAATGCATGGTCTACAACATATCAAATGTTAATTAATAAAAGAAAACAAATTGAGAATATTCCATCAATAAAATACAATGTTTTAACATTTCAACAAGCACAAGTTATTTTCAAGTATCGATTCAAAACAAGCATGATTGCCCATTCTATTTACTTTCAAACAGTGAACATACACCAAAATCCTGCTGTAGAACTGATCTCTAGAAGATTTTATGTGCAGCATAACAAATGAGGACTAATTGCTTTGTATGATTCTAACGACATCATAAAAATAATCCTTGTATTTAATATAGCTCCTGTGATCTCAGAATATTTCAAAGTGCTTTGTAAAATTTCTGTGAAAAAAATTGTGTATTTCTAAGCAAACAGCTAATTTGAGTACAACAATGTCCCACAAAAGTGAATGATCAAATTTATCAGAAGGATTGCTGGCAGAATACTGGGAGAAATTATTTTTTTTTTGGAATAGTGTGATGAGATTTTTAATATCTAGCTGAATAAGCAGAGACCTTCATTTAAGTTTAAGATTAGCAGTAACCCCTCATGTTCTACTGTACACAGTCATTACATGGCACAGTAATAATCCTGTGAATAATAAAACACTCTTTTTATTCAATAAGCTGTTACACCATTACGTTTTTTAAACTGCATCTGCTTATGGGTCCTGAAGAGCAACGGTGCTGCAAAATAAATAAGGTAACTGCTACCTCGGGAGTTGTTAAGCACCTCACAAAAGACGTTTCTCCCCTGCAAGCTAACGGATGTTTCCCAGTGCCCCTGTGCATCGAGAGTTGGTTGACTGTTTCAACTGGTTCTGTGTAATTCATCCCAGTGTGAAAGAGGCAAATTTGACAGAACCAGCAGCTCAGGATATTGCAATGTCGCCTCTAATTGAAGAAGCTCTACAGGTCGCCTTCAATATAAATGGAGAATTAAAGGGAAGAGGGCCCCTTTGATTCTCCGTTGTTGGCAAGGTGATTACTCAGGATATGTGAAGTATAACAAATGAAGAGGAAGGTCCATTTTTAATACAAGTTGTTTTTCAAGTTCAGCAACAATCTAACCATCTTTCCGTTTACTCAGATCTTCACAAATCAAGATAAATAAAACTGTTCCCCAGCATGCACATTCTCTAAAGCAACAATGTCTGATGAAAGAAGTCATCTATAAAATTTGATTAAAATACAATGGAACATTTTAAAGTTGAGGTGACAATTTCATAAGTGTTGATGGATAGATAAAAGGACAGCTCGGCTCCACAGGATCAGCAGGAAACGCAAAATGTAAAAGACATTGATGTAATGATGATGATATTGCTTACGTGCAGTAGGTGAGTATCTTGGTAGAAGGTATATAGCAAGCAAAAGTAAAATAGGCATCCTATTTCACAAATGACAATATTAGAAGAGAATATCGCTCTCTGCATTCTGTTTATACAACTGGAGGATGATTAGTTTTGAATTCCTTTAGTTTTGATGAGATTTTTGGATACGAACTGAGTGCTCTAAATAAAATTTGAAAAAAATTGAGGAGATGGATGATCCAGATCCAAAAGCATAATGGATATGGTTTATACCGTAAGAGCAAACAAACCGCAAGGCAATAGTCAAAAATTAAATAGCCTCAAGCGGGATTAAATATTAGAATACTCTAGCAGTGGATATGTTGGACAGAATCCCAATACTGTTGACTGCTTTGATTAACCACTTCAAAGTAAGTATTAAAGTATCTGCTTGAGAACAACATTGTTAGAATTAGGAATGATAATCACACTGCTACAACAATGCCTGAATATTCCGCAGTTTGTGCTTGATATATTTTACCTTGAAAGAGTACCTAAATATTTCCCTGCAGCAGAAAATGTGGGTGGGGTGAAGTCAGTGATAGAGTAATCTTTGTCTGCCTCTGGAAAAACAAGAGCTTGATAGGCCACACACCTTTCCTTGTCCCATGCTTTAAAAATTTGCTGTCAGACAAAGCAACAAAACTGTTTTATACATTCAATTCGATACAGGTGACAGTTAAGTAAATCTGGAGGCCAACTGGCAATGAACTTTTTCCAAAAACTTTTAAAATTCCATTTGTAAAGTGAGTTTCAGGTGTATTTCTGATTTGCATCTTGAAGTTTAAGATTCAGTTTAGGTTATTCCTTAGTTCACTAACCCTTGACATCATACAGCTACGTACTTCCAATTCTGTCTCCAGGCAAATGGAAGGAAGCATCTCTTTAAATCAGTTATCAAAACATCACTCAGAGTACACCTACATATTTAGATTTTTAACACAATTACTTTTACAATACTCTCAAATTGAACCCCACAAGTTCTAAACTCTTATCTAAAAATGCATTCACTGCTATGCTATTCAGCCTTTAAGCATGCACAATATATTTAAATTGGAATTAAATATCTTTTAGCCCAACTCCACCAAAACTTAATATGTTTGATAAAAGGCAGCCTTCAATCCCTAAACTTGCTTAAAAACTCAAATTATTGTATTGCACAATGCAGCAGAGAACAGGTCCAAGTTTGCTTAGACATAATTATCCCAGCTCCAGACAGGTGAGAAACCAAACGAGATAAGATCTTATCATTCGCCTAAAGCCAAAAAGTAGTAGTGATTTTCCGTCTAATTACTGCCCAAAACTATTTAGGCTATTTTGGCTCAAAGTGACTATTCAACAGAGTAGTCTTTGTCTGTGACGAATTCAGTCTGGTATTTTACATTACGAGTCAGTCAGAGACAACAGGTTTGTCTAGCCAAAGGGATTGTTCAGGTCACCACCAATGTCATTCTTGCCAGCTCTTTTTACATCAATTACATTTTTGCTTTTGAAACTGCTCCTTTAAAATTAAATGCTGCACCAAGCAAAAAATTACTACGATTTCCAAAAACTTCCAGCATTGGAAACATAGTGTAAAATAAAATGATCATGAATGAGTTACAAAGCACCAGAGCAATTGAAGGAATTCTAGTGATATCAGATGAATAATTAAAATTGGCTTAAGTATTTTAACATGTCATTTGTACCAATGACTTGTGTTGCTGTGGTGATCTCATTGAATGCCACCTACAAACTTGTAATCAGTTTTCTGACCCTGCTCGTAATTATAATGCAGTGTATGAGATTCTGTGGTGGATCGGCATTAAATTGGCACTCTTTGCACTATCAGTGTAAAAACCAGCAGAGGTGAACAGGCAGCACAGTGGGACAGAGTGATTAAATGCTGTGCCACTGAGTAGCTGGATTCAGATCACATCCGATATTCTCTATAGTTAGGTCCTAATCTCAACTGTCTGGGGAAGTGCAAAGTAGATCAAGTGTGGGAATATCAGGAGTTGACTTACATCATTCACTAAAATAGCCCCCCCACCCCACCTTCGAAATCAGTGGTTTAAAGGAAAAGAGGTGAGAACAGGCTGCCCACGAACTGTGTGTTGGCACAGAGAATACTGGATAAAATACATAAAGAACTGAGTGGATGAAATGCACTTTTTTGCATAAATTACAAGCAAAATATTAAAAATTGTATAAATCAGATAATTTGATAAATCAGATATTAGATGGTGCTTCATTAACTGATTTTTCTTCTTGAGAAGATTGAGAATGGTGCACATAGCTTCAATGTAAAATAAGAGTTTTCAGTGTAAATATGAACCACTAATGTTAAATGAATGCAGCGTATTTATTAAATACAGTATAATCATATTTTTCTTTAAAGGCTCATTCATCTGTGCAGCAGACATATCGATTTCGAGCTACTTTCTGTTTACTATTCTTAAAGGAATGCAGACTAATAAAATTCCTCTCCTGCTTCTTATACTGTCTAATAACATGTGATATTGACAGGTTTGATTAAAGGCATTTAAAAGTAATTACCTACCTCTGGCAGTCATTTTCCAACATCCTGCCTTTTCCTTATCTGTTCAAATTGTTTTGCGTTCAAATGTGTTTGCCTCTGGCAGATCTCTTTACAGTTTTATAAAAAAAAGTGATTGATGATTTTAACTTTTTCTCCCATATTTGACAGCTGCTCATTTGCAGGTTGTGGTTATACAAAGGAGTGGGATTATGTTGTGTTAATAGACTGCTCCCATGCGGCCTGGATACCTACCAAAAGCTGCTACTTTGATTATCATAGCTTGAACATTAGACAATATAATTTCTCGCAGCAAATCTTCCTGGTTTCGACGCCAGAGGTAAGCTAAGGACTGGAGATTAAGTCGCCTGCACCTGTGCTGGGAAAAAAAGAGATGTTCATGCTGGATACATTTCAAAAAACTGATGCTCTTTAAAAAGGTGAATCTTTTAACTACTATCATAGCAACAGACCAAGGGTATTAACATGTTGCACATTCCAGAAGACAAGAGCACAAGACAGGCCTTAGGGTCTTAAAGAAACAAAATACGAGAAGCTAGCTCAAGAGCGAGGTCAATTATTTAAATTAAATTGCTGTAGTTTTATTTCTAAAAACATTCTAAAAAAAAGTGGGGATTGCACAACAGGCCTAAATTGCCAAAATGTATTGTGGTGTTGCATTGTTCAATGTTAGTATGCAACCACAATTCACCACACAGTGAACTCTCAGTTTTGCCCAATTTGTCTGGGGTAGATAGCAAGAGATGGAAGACTAGAGTGACAGGTACCCTGACCCTCTCACACACATCTCGGAGTAGCCGATTAAGGACAGCATTAACAAGTGGACTTCGAGCTGTAAATGTGGAATGATAAAGGGAGGGAATGGAGGGAGGCGTAGAGCCCCTTTACAAATGAGGAAGAAAACCATAGCAACTTGCTTTTTGAAGAATAAATGGAAAGATTAGAAAGCTGTCAGTAAAATCACAACAGCAATATTGTAGACCACATAACTACATTGCAGCATTTGGGTTTAATGGATATTACAGATAACTTTTTCTTGTTTATTTGTGATGTCTGACCATCCTAATTTTAACAGGTAGAAAAATGAAAGCATCTTCCGGTTAAAATAAAATATTTAACAAAGGGCCTCAGTGATCTTTTCTTATATTTATATTACAACATCCACAACAACAAAACCTATTATTAAATCAGTAAGGGCATTATAACTTTTCAGAGCACACAGAATGCCTTAGGATACCTATACGGTTGAACCTAGTATTCTCTGGATACATCCAAATGCTGCCCTAAGGTTATGCTTGGTATAAAGATAGGGATAAATCAAGAAAAAAAAACTTAAAATTACATTCATAGACCATTTCTAACTATCGGAAAGGTCAGAGCATCAGCATTAACGCATCATAATAATATTGCTCAGTTCACAACTTCAGTGTGCCAGATAGGATCAATAAACTCGCATGTACCACTTGCATAAAACAACTCAATTAAATCATGTACAATTTTTTTCTGCCAAGATCACAAAAGTTCATTAATGCACAAAAATGAAGAGGGTGCCTGTAAGATTTGCCATCATTTCTTGCCATGTACAAGTCAATACATTAAACAAATTAAATGTAAAAGTTTTTATCAAGTTTATAAAATAAGAGATAATGAACAGATTGCTTACACATGCTCTACCCTGACACGCTGGTAGTCAGAAAGAATAGCACCGACTGAAACTCCTTCGACTCCTTCCTTCTCCTGCAAAATAAAGTATTGAGTGGTCAACTCCAGTCAAATCAGCTGGCCAGCTTCAGGCCATCACAATGTAAGGTAACTGGGCAACAATTGATATAGCAATTCCTCAAAATCTTAAAGATCTAGAGGGTTTACAAAATATAATTGATATTTGTCAGTTCTAAAGCAGCTCAGAAGATGAACAATGAGATCAGTAAACTAGAACTTCTAAAGATTACCTTACCAATTGCCCTCTTTCGAAAATGTGAAGCTCCACATAAAGAAGACATTTCTACAGGAGAAAAGTTCATCTTGGGATGCTTACAGGAATTACGATAGGGAAAAATCTCACCTCGAAATGCTTATAGGAATTGTTGTAGGGAAAACCTCACCTTGGGGTATTTATAGGAATTACTGTAGGGACAATCTCATTTTGTGATGCTTAAGCATGTATCATCAAGACTAGCAGTGAACCTCCTCTACTCAGTTGTATACAAGATCTTTGAGGTGATTCTCAGCAGGTCAATGTATTTATGGCTTTTAGCGGGCAAGAACATCTTATTCTCTGGAGGGAGCTTAACATGAACCAAAGAATTTAGGCCCCTAAGGTAAAGTAAATACTTCACTGTGTATAATATAGTTTACGGGGTCTCCCTAGGGGCACGTTGTTGCGTTTTTCCATGGGAGGGAAAACATAGGTCACTCCTTACCACTTTCCATCCAGAGTATGTGTTTATAAACTGTCACCTTCGTGGCCTTTCTTTCTGATTTATTGCTAACTTTGTGGGCCGAGTAGGCTTTTCAATTGTTGAAATCACTAGTAGAACAATTTGATACTTGCTTTTTTATGATGCACAGTGGTGTTACAGAAAACACGTCACTATTTCTATGTAAAAACAAGCTGCAAGAATTCTGGTGCCCACTCACATATTTGCCATTTTGGAAACCGTCTCATGAGTGGGAGTTTTCATTGTAATTATTTTCCCGAAAAATCTGCTATCTTCTGCAACAGCATATCAACCCAATACTATGATTCTACTTTCATCTATTGCTCAAATAACACAACGTCCGGTTTCATTGGCAGAAAAATACAGGCTACTGATACGTTTACACTTATCCCACCAAAACATTTTAGGTTTTAAGACACTATTGTGCCTTAATGCACTTTGTTGCACAATGAGTAGGAATTTAAAACCCAACTAAATGCAGATGTTATACAACAAAACAACTATATTTCGCAATGGATCTTAGCCAAATTCTGAGCTGTTTCACTTCTAAAAAAAATATCAATTCCAAAAGGGGTAAGGGAAATAAATGGCTGGAAAGTCAACACATTAAATAGTTTGAAACTCAATCTCACTGCACCGAGGAATGAAATCTTTTACTCTCTCTCTAAGTCTGTTACTGTCTAAACATCTTAAACTTAACTTTTCAAACCATGACTAGATACTACTTACTGAAACGGACCCCAAAGCTTCAGTGAGTTGTTTTAATAACTGAGAAATATTCATTTTAAACAGCACAGCCTATCTATGAAAAGCAAAAAGTATGTTTAATCAGCAAAAATTCTTGAAAGCTTTAAATCAACTGTCAGATTTTATTAAAACAGAATTAATCCATTTGCTTATGCAAATCTTCCCTATCGCATTTCTGAAATCCCAGTTTTAATTCTCCTTTTACAGTGCCTACAAGAAACGTTTAAATCAGCTTCATGACAACACTGCATTAATTCAAAAATCCTTTCTCTCCCCCGTCTTTTTAGTTCCAATTGAATTTCAATACAATTTCCCTCAATCCGTTTTTAGAACCTTCGTTTTCTCTAAATTAAAACAATACCTTCTAGGAGACTAACCTCATTTTACTTCCTTTGACTTGTTAACATTTGTCTCAGATTCAACCTAACATGCAAAAATAAGTCTTCTTAAATTCAAAATTATCTTCTGGCTCAATTGCATCATTTGGTTTGTCCAAGATAATCAAACTGAAAACAGAACATACCGTAACTGGTTAACAGCTTGTATTTATTTCAAAGGGACGAAGTTTGATAACACTAAGCTCTTTATCAATTATGGAGCAAAGCACTATTAATGTGGCAATGATTCAACCAGTACCATTTATGGTTCTGCCATTTCAAACAGAAAGAGAATCTTATGTTAGGAAGCTTATTTCCGAAGTTGACAAAAATAAATCTTTAAAAAAAAAGGTTGCTGAGGATTAAGGCAAATAGGACACTTTCCAGTAAGTTCCAAGCACTCAAATTAGTTACTTTCAAAGTCTGGTGAGATTCCAGGAAGGATTTCCAAGTTATACAGATAATTTTCTGTAGCATATGCAGATAGATAGATAGATAAAATTGTGGGTTTATCCTTGAACATCTGGCGAGATAACAATTCTGTAGATTCTGGTGCTTACACTTTTGTTCCTTTAACCAGATGAGTGCATGTGACTTGGGGCACTGTGCATATTTGATTTCATACCCTTTTCAAATACAGCAGTGCAAGTAGGCCAACTTTAAAGGGATTCCACAGTGTAAAAGGATAAGGTACAGAATTATTTCTGGTTATGATAAATACATTTTTGTATAACTAAACCCCAATCCACACTTACTTTGAAGTTGAAATTTCCTTTTAAATTCCTTGAATACACACTGACATCAGTTAGGCAGAAGAGTATTGTAAAATAAGATTATACTGCTTACTGCCAGTAATAACATATGTAAAGTTGCCTGACTGAATATGGTAATTTTTTTAAACAAAAAAATAGCAAACCTGGTCCAAAGTGTAGCGAAAAGTATCTTCCATAGGAGCTTTTTGTCAGTGGCAAGCTAACCTTAAGGGCAGCAACTGGGATCTGCATTTCTGAGATAAACCTTCAGTTAATTATGACAGTTGCTTGAAATCAAAACGAAAAAATTTTTGTTCACAAAAAGTACTGTAATTTACTTGAATAAAATCATTACATATTCTGTAAGACTCTTCCAATCAAAAAAGCAGAAAAATGAAAAGTCATAATTCCACTTAGTGATATTATCTGCATTCTCTCACTTAATCATTTCAATACTGGCTTAAAACTAGCTGAAATATTATTTCAATTACCACATAATCAGCAACAAATGAAACCAATAATTTTCAGACATAATTTTTTTTGTCTTGACAGCATTCTTCATGCTGATTAACCCACAATGCTCACCATGTCTAGTATAATGAGAGACTAATGACTCTTCATTTTAAATCAAAGGAACCTAATCTAACAGTAATAATGAGCGCGTAGTCATTTATGTTACAACTAACTATTCAGTGAAATGAATGACCACCAAGAGAGAAGCCAGGTCTCATTTAATAAGGTGAGGGCCATCTCACAATTAATGCTTTAAACAAACCGAATTTGTCAACTTTGCACAACTTTGCCTTTTGTGAAATATAAATTTCTCTCCAGTAGTTCTATCCTATTTCAGAGTATTTAACATAAAATGAATTGCGGTTTTGTACATTTTTGTCACCTATTCCAAGTTTTAAAGTTCCAATATACTAGAATTCCTGCATGGTGAAAAAAGTCAATGTCCAAATTCAATTACGTCTGTTATAATGGCAATGCTATCTATCCATTTGCAATAAAATAATAGCACCAAACTTATCATATAATCTTTCCTTATGAAGAACCGAATGTACTTCCATCATAAACCACTCTTAGGAACCCTTAATGCGACAGTATTAAACTAACATCAGAAAAATTGTCCTATGTTTAAGTTTACTTTATAACTATGAATTAAGATCTGTTCCTTGGCCAATTTCACTGCCTCCCATTTACAACAATCAGTCATAGAATGCAGTCATTGTACAAAGATAGAAGCAGTCTTTCGAAAGGTGTAAAGGTCTTTATTGATGGGTCTCTGCTCATTGTGACTTTAACTTCTCATTCCACCTGTTAAATATATTACTTACAATTCAGCTACTGGTAACTGGGACTGTTCACAAACATTGAATATATTGTAGAATCAGCACAGCGTAGTGTTCAACTGATACTAGCTCGGGCTCATAACCTGAAGCTGCATAGAACACCGCAAGTTCAAGTTCAGCTACAGTTCAGGAAACCAATTCAGAATTCAAAGCTTTCTGTAAATGTATGTCAAGCCAGAACTACACAGAACCAGATTAAGCTTCACAACTTCCTGCTTTCTCCATTTCATTAAACTGTCAATCAGCTCGGCCTCAGAACGATGACATTCCTGACCCTGACATTTTGTCATGGCAATCAACATTAGGAAAGGGTTCCCCTGTAGTATTGAAATGAAATCTTTTAATACATAGTCTGCTATATACTTGAACTAAACATACTTTTTTTCTGGAGATAAAGAAGGTTTGAATTTCAAACAAAAATGTTTTTCAAACTTTGATCTCATGTTAAATGTTACCAATGTAGAACAGGCAATAACTCAACAGTTTATCACAAACCACATCTTAAATAGCTCTCAAAATAATAGCCATGGCCTGTTATCTGCTTTTGCTAGAACACACAGCAACAGCAGAAGTGATTAGTATGATTAGAAACACAAGATACAGAAACAATGTGATAATAGGTTCAAGCAATTGGGAACAATAACATTAGGACTAAAATTGCTATCACTCAACAGTAAACTATGTTTGTTTGATCTGGATAAACAAATGCAACTAACACTTTAGCTAGTATAATAACTATTTATCAAATTGTAATAATAATTAGATTTGATACAATACCTATAAATGTTGCAATGTTTCAAAGTGCTTCCAAAGATAATTGCTGCCAAGTGATGTGAATGTATTTGTAGACAATGGGTTATGCTATTAAATTAACAAATCATCAATACCTGATTTGTACACACTCAAACTATGGGACCTATATTTCTGCATTGGTTGTCATTCATCTCAACAGCTTCTTAAAAACAAACTTCCTTAACCATTTGTTTTCATATTTAAAAAGTCAGCATTCTTAGCTCATCTTGTTTCTAACATCATTTACTTGTAGAACAAATATAATAGTTGCTCTTA